GCCTATTAGCTCAGGCTTCTTATTGACTAACTCTTACATCTTAAATTAACCCATTTCTGTTCATCTGTGTGTCGCCACGAGGCTGTGGCTTACAGGGTAAAGTTCTGTCCTGGCGTCTCCTCTGACTCTATCTCCTCTCTCTTCCAGCCTGGCTCTATACTGGTAAGCCGCTGGCCGAAACAGCTTTATTTATCAACCAATAAAAGGAACACATACACTGACGGGCATCCCACATCATTCCATTGTTCCCAGAAAATTCCAGGTTTGCCCCCTGCACAGAGCCTGTGTCCTGCCAGAAACGTCTCCTGGTTGTTTTCTGCCGGAGGTTTCCACAAGTTCAAGTCTCAGCGCTTGAGACATGTGTTCCAAAGCACTGTGACCACAGAAGCTCCAACTCCCACGAACGTCACACGGTTTTACCATCCGTGCCCCATCAGGACCTTCAGTCTTCTTGTGTGTTTATTATCTACTTCTCCTACTGCAATCAAAGACACAGCAGACAGAGATCAGAGATCTCCCTTGTCCTCCACTGCTTATGCCCCAACATTGGAGCCCAACAATGACAGTATGTGAACTCTCAACACGTATCCACCAGACAGGACAGGCTGGAGGAACTGGGTGAGAGGCAGCTGAAGGCACCGTCGATGGGACGCTTTCTCACAGTGTGACACCAGAACCAGCTGAACATCAAACCATGTGGACACAGGAGAGAGGAGACGGAAGCCAGACCCAGTGCCACAGCCGGCAGCAGACACACACCCAGAGGACTCAGTGTCAAGGCCAAAGGGCAGGAGGGTTATCGGTTACCTGGCTACTGCAACAAAGTAGCGCCCGTGAGGGGCAGAACACAACAGGAGCGATTATCACTCCATTCTGGAGACTGGTCTGCACGCTCCCTCTGACGCTCCACAGCATCTGGCGGTTCCCAGGAATCTCCACTGGCCCTTGGGTTGAGACTTATCTCTTGTTCTAGCCTCTAACTCTTCTCTACGCTGTTCAGTTGTCTTATAACAGAGTCTCGAATAGCCTAGGCTAGCCTCAAACTCACCGTCTAGCCAAGGATAACCTTGAATTCCTGCTCCCACTACCTCCACTTTCCAAGTACTAGAATGGCAGGTGTGAGCCACCATACCTGGCCCCACTTGTGTCTCAGTCACTGCATGAGCGTCCACCCTGCTTCAGTGAAACCTCCCCTGGACCCACAACACCTACAACAAACATACTTCCTTCTTTGTTTGAGTCTTTCCTTTCTGTGTGTTTGGACATTTTGAGACAGTACTGGAACTCACTATGTAGACCAGGCTGGCCTTGAACTCACAGCTTCCCCAGTGCAGGGATTAAAGGTATACACCACCACACCCACCTTCTTTTTCTTTGACTATGTAGCCCAGGCTGGCCTGCTGCAGTCTCCTGAATGCTGGGATTACAGGTATGCCCCACCTCCAAAGTCACCTCCAAAGCAGGTCCTATCTGCAGATCCCTAAGGCATAAACATTGGAGGACTCAACCCAGTTCACACAAGAAGGAAGGAGGTGACACTGTGGGTCACGGTGGGGAAAACAGGACACACTGAAAGACACAGACACCTGCTCAGCATCCTGGTCCAGGACAGCCAACAAATGGCCTTCTGGGACCATTTGTCATCTCATAAACTGTGGTGGGCATGACACCAGACTAGGGTGCCTATGGTGAGCATCACACACCAGCTTACTTTCAAGTGGTTGATCAAACTGCACACACAGGGGTTGAGGCTTAGAGTGAAGATAAAATGTCCGTGGTGACAGGTGGGCACGTGGCAGACCATCCCCCACACCGCATCCCTTGCAAAGGTCACAATAAAAACCTGGTGGAGGGGCGACTGGGGCTGGCGCTCAGTGTATACAGACCTCGCCTAGCATAAAGCAGACTCTGAGCTCCAACCCCAGCACCATACAGCATCCCAACATTTGCCAAGAGGAAGCAGGGGGCTACATAGTGACTTCCAGGCCAGCCCGAGCTACAAGAGACCCTGTTTCAAAAACAAAACAAAGAATAAAGCTCTGGGAGTGGGGATGCACAGGTAACACCCCAATATTAGCGAAGTTGATGAGGCAGGATGGTAGCTGGCAGTCGGAGCTCGAAACCTCCTTCGCAAACCCCTATTTCCTCCCACCCCTGCCAAAATAAAAGGGATAAACAGCCAGATCCATTCGCTTCACTAGTAGAACCCTGAGCACCGAGCTTCGGTTCCACGCTCCATCCAAAGTCTTTGCGTGTCCCCACTACATTGCTACAAAGTCGCTTTCCCTGAGACTCCAAGAGTGAGAGGGTACTCCGTTCCGCTCCCTGGTCTTCACCTTAAGGACTCTCTCTCACCCAACAGCAAAGGGGGGGATAGCCTGCGCATGCGTGTGTTTCCTCCCCACCTGCGCCCTCTCCCCGCCCCTCCCCACGTGATGCCGTGGGAACCCGGACCCCAGAGCCTGCGGGTGGGGGCGGCCAAGAAGCGCGCACCGGAGACGGGGTTCCGTGGTAGTGGGGAAGAGCTCACTTGGCTCTCGAGGTACGGGACCAAACTGGAGGGGTCCCCGAACCCGACGTGCCGGGAAGGAGGCTGGACGCACTCACCCGCACGATGTAGGAGACCCCGGGCCCCAGGACCCTGGCGTCGGGGTGCAGCCAGCCGTGAGCCGGCTTGTGGATGAAGCCGCCCTTGCGCGCCCACTCATCGGCGACGTCAGGGGTCCCCC